ATTATTTATTTTTAACCTATTTATTTATTTATTTTCTTTCAGTTGGAAAATAATAATGGATTTGTTATTTTTTGCCTTTTTGGATATATAGAATTTGTATTTTTCTATATAAGGTAATTTAACCTTTTATTTATATATTTTACTTTTGCTTATATATTTATTTTAATTATTTATAATCAGTTGTTTAAACAAGTATTTTACTTTTAATAAATTTTTGAGATTTTATAATTTAATAAGCTTTTTGTGTTAAATTAGACAAATGCACGCCAGCAATTGCCCTGAGACAGCCTTAGTGAGTGCTCTTAATATATGTACAATCAGGGAGTGAGTGAAGTAGCACCTGGGGAGGCTTGTGTGTGTGCTTAAACTCCGTCTTGAGCAAGAGAGTTAGAGAGAGCAGCAAAGGGAGGGGTTTCTGCCCTGATGGACTATTTACCACCGGCAAACAAAGAGAAAATTCAAGGCGTCCACACGGGAGCTTCATAGCTACTTAAAAATCTGCAAGCGCTCGTGTATGAATCCGGCCAAACGCTTCTGTTTATTTTCAGAAGTAACCACTCATTTAGATCTGAGTACGAGTTTGCGCATGAAGCTGAAAACTAGTCAGCCCGTCAGGGCAGTTTGCCACTCGTCTCTCAGCGAGCTCTGCGCTGTGTAATTACGTGAGAAGAAAGACACATAGACCTCCCCTTCACATTCCCTGATCTAATTTGTTTGCCGGGTGAGAGCAACACATCTGGATTTGTGGATGCTTTTGTTGCTTTTTCCTAATGTGATGGTTTTTGAATCTAACTGTCCCTTGAAAGATGGATTTTTATGAGTTTGTGTAGCTTGGCAATACAATAAATAACCTCGCAGAAGTGTCGCAGGGTTTGAGGTTTCACAAGCCTGCCAAATATGGATGAATGGCAACGTAAACAGCTATGCAGGGCTTGCCACAGGGCAATCTCTCAATGAAATTGAGCGTTCCTGTGTCGCATCAAAAGGCTTTTGCTTTCTTCTTGTGCTGTTTATAATGTTAAATAATGGTTTGGAAGGCAGTTATCTCTTTAACTACTGTTTAACAGCGGAGGCTTGTAATGTTTTACTGTGTCAAAAAGCACAGATTACTCTGGAATCCCTTGATGAGATGATATGAGAAAATGTTTATTGGCGTACTATAAACTGATCCAAACCTCACTAACAATGTGTGTAACTCCATTGTGGCTGAAACCCACTACATTTCCTTTGTGAGTCATTGTTGAATAGGATGAAACGGTAAAATACATTTAAATTCAGTCGTTTTTATAGTCAATGAGGGTTTGGTTACAGACATTCTGTGATTTCTGCTTGTTTTCACCCCTTAAGTCTCAAAACTTGTAAAATAGTCTCATCTGAAAGTAGCAGAGTGCTAAAATGGCATCCGGCAAATTGAAGTCAAGGTTTTTTCGTCTGCTAGTAGAGAGAGGCTGTCAGCTGATGGAGCGTGTATGTATGTGTGTGTGTGTCTGAAGGAAAAGTAAATGGGGGTGGAAGTGGCTGGTGTCTGTTGAAGGGAAGCACGAGTGTTTGTTCCCGATGGCAGGCATCAGAGTGTGAATATGACCTCTGGTGGAAAAAAGTGGGTGAGAAAAAGAAAAGGCAATGGCTGCGGAGATCAACCTCCACTTTTAGGCACTCCGGACTACTGTTATTTTGTATCACTTTGAAAGGGCAGTATGGTTTCCTCAAAGACACAGGGAAGAACACGTTTTATTATAAGTAGTGGAATAAATCCTGTCTATCCCTGAAATGGTGTGAATGATTGTGTTTAATTTCTTCATGCTGTTTTTACTGCTCGATAACTCGCCGAACCTTATACCAGAGAACATTTGCTTTTGAATGTTTCTCTTTTTTTTCTGTCTCCCTTCCGCTTGTCTGCTGATCCCTGGTGAATGCATTAAATTAAGTTAATAGATATGAGTGCTTAAGGGGCCAGGGCCTCCCAGGCTTGCCAAGGCGCTCAGAAGCTTGGCTCATTCAACCATGTCATCTTTTCTTTCTTATGGTTTTTTTGTTTTTTTGTTTTTTGTTTCAGCTACTGGCTGACTTATTAGTATGGCAGGGCATCAGGCAGGAGGAGGCATAATAAATCAATAAATTCTTTTGTTAAAATTCATCAGATTTTATTGGTTACAATAAAGCACTTATACTCTTTCCCTCTTTTTAATCATCAAATATAAAATGTTTAACATCTTGTCAAATTATAAAGGCCTGTTCACACTGAGGACGATGATGATGACAAAAAAAAAGTTTTAAATATTGTTCTAAATAAAATTAAAAAATAGCAGTCCACACCACAACTATAACGATAATGACACGGAAAGGAACAATATCACCGGAATCACTTTTAAAAAGATTTTTTCCCAGCTGATGAACGATAAAAACATTGACAGCCAATCAAAATCCATCCTGCTTTGAGGACCTCGAACATTTAAAGTGGCAGATGACAAAACTGCAGCGTGTGCTTATAATAAACAGAATGTTATTGATGCTATTAGCAGGATGCTAATATAGGTGTCATTATACTTATATTTATCGCTATCGTTCTTAGTATGAATGGGCCATAATTCTTGAAGGAATAATCTGGGTTTCATACGAATTAGGTTCAGCTGACATCATTTAATGTTGATTTCCACAGAAATTAATTTCAAATCATCCCTTGTTTTCAAAATGGGGTCAGTTTTTAGAGGATTTAAAAGCAGAAATGTGAAGCTTTTAATTTGATAAAAAACATAAATTTTTCCACACTAAAAACTTTACACAAATATTGTTTAAATCTTGTGGCAATTGTATTGAAACTCTATGGATTGGCTTTCATTGTAAGTGCCTCACTGTATGTTTTTTTTTTTTGAGAAAGAATAGAATGGATGTCAAAATTCATTTTTGTGGTAATCAACATCAACATCATGCCACAAATGCTTTCGATTGAGCCTGCCTCGTATTGAATCTGGCATATTTCTTTAATTCTTGTCATCTCAAGCTAAACCCTTCAATAATACACTGGTGTGAAGGGGTCAGGGTACAGTAGGCATTGTGATGGGTATTGAATGCAGAGCAGAACTGAATAGACACAGTCAGCTTCCCAGATACATGCTTAGGCCTGTAGAATGCAGAATGCTTTGCTTGTAACTGCACCGGTTGTCTCCTTTCATTATCGGTTAATGGTGGCCAACTTGACAGGGCCATGTGATAAACAGAGGAGCTGTGAAATCCTGGAGGTGGAGTTCTCGTCTGCCTGATAATGGGATCTCATCTGCTGTTGCGAATGGCTGCGGAACAGCCATCTGAGTGCATGAAATGCAAAGCATTCACAATTCTGGTGCTCTTTTTGGTGTACATTTCCTCCCAACGCTCAGCTTGTGTTTTGTGCGCCGCTGTCTGAACGCTGAGCAGTTTAGAGGGTGCGTTAGTTGAGAATTTATTAAAGCCATCAGAGTAGTTTTGATTTTGTGAAATACCAGTCGTATGCATATGCATATTTGTTTTACAGTGCCAAACATGAACGTCCATGATCCAGAAGAAATGTTTGTTTGCACATAACATTAAGATGATTTAATATTCCTCGAACAAATCTTCTACAATCTATACATTGTTCATGCATTCCCCACGTGGCTCGCGATCACGCACCTTCCGTCGTGATTCATTTCGGAGCACTAATTAACCACCATGTCAAATGCATTGTTGTGTATTTTTCTCATGAGCCAGAGTAGCTAATCTCCCATTGGCTGATAGCAATGATTGGTATCTCTTTGAAAACGGCATTCTCTAAATATCTTCCCTGTGCACAGCGAGGATCTCGCATAAGCAAGTGACTCAGGTTTCCTGTTGGGCACATTGTAAGTGCTATCAGGGCGGCTCGGGGAGATAAATATGGATGCACTTGAGTAAATGTAATAAATACGCCTGAATGTGAAGCTCAAACGCTTTCCAAGAGGGGAGGAGGGTAGCCTGCCTGGGGTGTGAGTGTGTGTAAGCATGTACGTGTGGGTGCATGGCAGAGCTAAGGATTGTCAGGAGAAACAGAAGTCACACTGTCTCTGGCTCCCCTTTCATACAAGTTTGTTTTTAATGTCACATTGATATTTTAAAATAAAAGGCATGCTCACATTGTCAGAAATGACCCATGAATTTGTGAAAATATTTAAAAATGTGTTGTATTCAAATGTGTAAAAGTGCAAGGAAAGTATTTTAGTGCTTGATGAGACCACTTGACATATTTTTAGAATCATTAAATGGAATGAAGGGTTTTCAGAAATGTATGAAAACAACATGAATACAAAGATTACCATGTTTTTAAAAGATTTAACATTTTCCCTCTGGCATCATTATGGCAGTGCTGATGTTGTTATATTATCAAATTATTTATATTCTGTATAGAAGCACAAAATCAGTTTTCATTCTTTAAACGGCAACAAAGAATGCACGTTCTTTTAAATGCACATTTGTGAATACATGCTGCTTCCATGTTGGGCGGGGGGAAACGGAGTAATTAATTCATTATGTGAATATGCAAATGAGAATGAGAGCACCAACACACAATGTATGTGTAATTTTCACTGGTTGTTTTGTTCTCAGCCCCAATCATTTGGCAGCGAAGCACGGCAATAAAAACTGGGCGTTCATTATTGGACACTGAAAATCAATAGCTGGAATCTGTGGTTTATTTGAACGGTAGGCTCTTGATTTTTGGCGTGTTTTCTGTGATGATCTATTTGTTGTTATCTGTGCTGCTGGAGCTGGAGTCGTCAGTATGCACATTAATATTCCGTACAGCCGCCGTGTGAATCTGGATTCAACACATGCTTACCGATGCAGTTTCTTTACCGACCATATCCTCACGGTTTACGATCAATCACGACTCCAGTCCGATCACTTGTCGTCGGTAATCATTAAAATCCAGTCCGTGTTTTTGTTTTGCTCTCTTTTTAAAAGTGGTGTGTGTATGTGTGTGGTGGAGGGGAGGGGGTAATTCTCCTTCACTAGTGTCTGGATAAAGAAAGACTAGGTCAGCCATGTGGATGCGTCTGCTGAACAGCTGAAGAAGAAGAGGAGGAGAAGAAGGAGGGGGTTCTAAAGAAAGAGAGTGAGATAGAGAGAGCGAACGTGCTGTGTGTGCATATGAAAGAAAGCGCGAGGAGAGAGCGAGGGAGCGCGTGAGTGTGCGCGCGCGTGTGTGAAAAAGGAAGCGGAGTCTGTAAACGCCGAACTCACTGATTTTCTACCCTCCACAAACTCAAGCTTTCGGAGTTATCACAAGGCGAAAAGGAGGAGGGGGAACCGCATGCGTTCAGAAAACGAGTCCCCGGGCGGTCCGAATGCGAATAAATTAGTAAAGCGAGGTCGTCTTTTGTTGAGGCATTTGCCCCGTTTCTCCTCTGTATGGACAGCGGCTCTCTCAGGATAAAGTATCTGCGTGATAGTGCTCATCCCTTGGCTTCTTGGATTTTGGTCCAGGCCGAGAAGTTCGGCAGGGCCATTTTCAACGAACGGACGTGGAATTGTGTTTGAAGTTGTTTGCAGCAGCCCGATAGGAACTTAGATCATCATACTGGCGGGTGAGTAGTGCCTTTGCGACATTGGCTATGTACTAAAAGAAAGAAGACTGAGGGAGTTTAGAGGGCTTGAGTGGGTGGGAAGGTGTGTGTGTGTGTGGTGGGGGGGAATAGAGATGGAATGTTGGCAATTGCTACAGGCTCAGAAGTTGAAAGCAGCAGTCTGTTTTTTTTATTGCATGTTTCACTTTTGCTCTTGCTGTTGAAAGAGAGGAGCACTGTGTAATCTTTCTAGGATGCTTTATGGCTTTCTAGTAAGTAGTCTATCAAGTTTCAGCCATCTAACTTGCATCTTCCGTGAAGACGTTCTGTGTTTGTTTCCATTTTATTAAGTGAGGAACTCAAGCATTAAGTGAATTATTAATGCTCGGGAAGCAGAATAAATAGTGCATTTAGAGTTGGAGGTGCTGAGGATCTTCAATACATTAAGCATGCTGTTTATCTCGGTGTTTAGCTTTATCAAACACCATCACAACAGTGCATTTGCAGTGACTGCAACCCTCACATGTTGGAAGAGACCTTTTGTTTACTGAAAACCCTGGGAGCAGGGGAGGAGAGCTTTTGGTAGACGCGCACAATGTATATGTAATTTTCACTGGTTGTTTTGTTCTTAGCCCCAGTCATTTGGCAGCGAAGCACGGCAATAAAAACGGGGCGTTCATTATTGGACACTGAAAATCAATAGCCGGAATCTGTGGTTTATTGAAACGGTAGGAGCTTGATTTTTGGCATGTTTTCTGTGATTATCTATTTGTTATTATCTGTGCTGCTGGAGGTGGAGTCGTCAGCATGCACATTAATATTCCGTACAGCCGCCGCGTGAATCTGGATTCAACGTCTTGCTTGCCGATGCAGTTTCTTTACCGACCATATCTCCACGGTTTACGATCAATCACGACTCCAGTCCGATCATTTGCCGTCGGTAATCATTAGAATCCAGTCCGTGTTTTTGTTTTGCTCGCTTTTTAGAAGTTTGTGTGCGCGCGTGTGTGTGTGTGTGTGTGTGTGTGTGTGTGTGTGTGTGTGTGCAGTGCATTTGCAGTGACTGCAACCCTCACATGTTGGAAGAGACCTTTTGTTTACTGAAAACCCTGGGAGCAGGGGAGGAGAGCTTTTGGTAGACCTGCCTGACCAGTTGGAGTCTGCTATGGGACGGCCAAGTCTGCCTAACTTCCCTTTGTTAACTTGAAACACTTGAACCGTGGCCCATGATGGGAACAAATATGGCCGGTTATGGTCCTTCCTAGCATGTAGTGATGTGTTGGTGGTGAAGACTAAAAGGGCATGCCTGTTTTGTTGGGGGTACACTCTTTTGGGGGTTTTGCAGCAATGCCATAGAAATACCATTTTTGGTTCAGTGATAATTTCTTTAAAAAAATAATGTTTTTTTTTCTTAGTGTGATGAACATTTTAATAATCTAAAAAAACCTTTTGTACAATTGAAAGGTTTTATGGATGTTAAATGATCTTCATGGAACCATAGTTATCCATAGTTAATAGAGTGTAAGTTGGAAAAGACTTGTCTGAAACAGTGTTTGTTTCACAGCCTGCCTTATCTGATCTCGTTCTCCATGCTGTGTATGTGGAGGAAGCATCTTGTATATCCTCTTTAGTTTATTGGTCATACTTGAATTTCATGTGACTGTTCAGTTCCTGGGGTAACATTAAAAAAAACACGCCATGTTTTTCTCACTTTGCATATGTAAGAGATGTAGTTATTTGTGTTAAGAAGGGCCTATTGTGGCCAGAAGTGATCGTCCCATCCCCCCACACTAGGATGTTTTTCATCTCCAGTTGTGCAACAAGATGGTAATTGGTGTATCTAAAGCTTTGAGGTGGTCAATCACACTCTGCTAGTAGTTTTGTGGGTTTCCCCAAATTCGCTGTCACACCAAAAACACAAAGATTAGGTTTAAACGTCACAAAAAGATAGCATTGACCAGCCTGGAAACATAGACATCAGTAATCTGTAATCATAACAACTATGTACAGAGTATCTGTCCTAATCCTTTGGTTCATAGAAAATGGAGAGCGTGAGAGAGAGAAGAAAAGCTTTTATAAACCCCCGTTACACATGCCATGGCTTTGAGGGTAGCCTGAGGTGAAAGAAATCAAACATTTAGTGAAGCGTCTCCTGCAGAGGAACTAAAGACTATAGCAAGGAACAGAATGTTTTCATTGTCTTTTGTTACACTCAGGGAAACCTGTTTGAGCTAGATTACTTTAAAATACACGGACGGCAAGTTTAATGTTTGAACACAGCCTGTCCATGTTTGTAGCACACATACACCATTTTTGTCACCTGTTTAGAATAGAATATGTCTAATAGGGTTGGGCCGATAGACGATGCCATCGTCCATCGCCGATGGCTGACAGACATCACGATGTTAAGCTGACATCGTGATAACCCCCCACCACCCCCTCTCCCGCAATCTGCCGCATCCCAGTTCCGTGTTCGGAAAGGAAATGAAGTGTACTACAGAAACCCAAAAGGGAATAAATAGTCTACGAGATGGGAGGATAAAAAAAACATTTCAATACTTTTTCTCGCAATTATATCGTTGGGTAAGTATAGGCGACTGTATATAAATTGCGGGCATCAGGGAGCCGCTATTGAAACCGCTTTCGATTGCGCGCTCTCATTTTACTTTCACTTTCACTTTTGAGATTCGCGATCACAAGGACTCTATACTATGGAGCGGCAGTACTTACCACACATTTGACAAGATTAGATGTTTGTCATTGGTGCTCAGGATCTCTAAATCATTCACCGTCATCCTATCAGACATTTCTCCTTACTCTGTGTATGTGGTAAGTGAACTTTCATGTACTGTAATGCAACAGGCTACCGCTAGCAAACGGCTAACCTTTTAGTGGCTCCGTAGACTGTAGACATTGTCCGATGCCAATTTGGTAGACATCGCCCAACCCTAACGTCTAATTAGGTTGGTGTTTCCAAATGTCCTCCTTGTCATCTCTAGTGAATGACTGTGCTCTCTTGCTCTTTTTTTAAATGACTTGTGAAGGCTGTATGTTTTAATGTTCTCGTTATTATACATCTGAGTGCTGGGCCTTCATTTGCAGCATGTGGGTGTATGATTAACTGTGTCATCCTTCTCCCTTAACAACTGCTTGCCTCTTTGCTTGAGCAGCGGAGAATGGCTACTAAATGTTTAATGCTTAAGCACACAGTGACATTTAGCCTTTGTGTTTTCGCTGCAAAAAAAGGTGGTGTTCGTTCTTTCGCATTTAATAGAATTACCCACATCGCAAAGATGTGCTCTGTGTGTTATCCTCCACGTTAAAAGCATCAAACGGGCGATACTCTGATCAAAGGCGGTGTGGCAGGGCTGACGAAGGGGTTTCTTCATAGAGTGTGTTGTAGCGGATCAGTTGGTGTGTGGTGGCTGCTGAATGTTTGGCGGGGCTTGGGCAGGCATGTTATTTAATCTGCTCGCATGATGGAACTGGCTGGTGTTACGCCGCACGTCTTTTCTCCTCCGTTTGCCGAGAGAGGCCTTAATGGTGGCACATCCGGGCTGAGCTATGCAATGTTATGCTTTTCAGGTTGGGCTTTGTCTCTGCAAACTTGTAGGTAGAGTCTCCTTTGTTTACAAGAATGTGTTGGCACTTTCCCCTTGATAATAGATACAGTAACCACAGGCGCCTGCTCATAGCCCTAGTGACAAAGAGACCTGACACTGTCAAACTATAAACAGCTCAAGCAGCTGAGTCGTCTGAATGCTTCTGTAGCAGAAAGTGCTAAGAGCAGATTGATATCTGTCTGGTAATAGGCTCGTCTTTGTTTGACTCATTCCTCAGACTTCACGGGTACACGGTATGGTGTTTCAGCAACACTCTCTTTTTCTTATTTGTTGTTCATTCCTCTGTTTATTCTGCACATGCCAGAAGGTAGTTGATCTGTAGCTGTTGAAGTTAATCTGATAAACCTGGATCGGCCAATTCATGCATTAACCATACGTCTTGTGCAAGAATCGGGCTTGTTGATGTCAAATAAATGTAAACCTGAGGAGCGCGAGAAGTTAATGGGTGTAATTGAAACTGATATTTTTTAAATAAGCCCTAAAGCAGCTGAGCCCTTTGCTCGAGATGTCTCGCACATGTTAAGTGAGAGGGGACATCTGGACCTGTTAATTCAGCACATGGTTATAAAGTGAGGTTGGGGGGTCCCACAGGCCCCACTGTTTTCCTGTTCTGTTAGGGATGTCAGATGTAGTCTTTTATGCTTTTTACGCCCGCACACCCTTACTAGTATTCGCTCTGTCCTTGTCCTTATAGAGAAACACTCGCTATGGTGATAAACATATAAAAATGCAGTCCTCACTCAAGTGCTTTCATCTTGAAAAGCATGCGTTGGATCGACGCTTTTCTTGCTTAGAAAGGATCCAAATTTCTTAGACTGCTGGAATGGAGCACAATTTGTGACTGCTGCTCCTCCAACGATTCCTAAACATCTATTTTTTGCTGTATGTGTGTTATGGAACTTGTCATTTATTTTATTAATCTTCATGCCATTCCTATGCAGTATTGTTTTCTTTCTTACATGAAACACAAAAGAACGCAGAATGTCCTTAGGCAGCATGTCCATACAATGAAAATAAATGTTGTTTTTTCTCGATGCCAAGCTCAAATATACAAGTAAAAGTATCTTAGTAGTCCAGTGGTTCTCAAACTTTCTGACTTCAAGGCCCCTTTGTCCGAGACAATATTCAAAGGCCCTTCATCTAAGCTGCAATCAAACTCCAAAAAATGATCATTTAATGTTGTATAGATATTTTTTTTTGTTACTGTAATATTAATTTAATATTAATATTAGGGCTGCACGATAAATCGCATGCGATATTTAACGCGCATCTTGTCAGAAAGCCGGTTCTGTAATCAGCGGTAAATCTCCATCACGTGCGTGCTTTCACATTGAGCAGCATTAACTAAGGTTAATAGCTAAGGTTTATGCAAAAAAAAGTCGCTAGGTTTGTCAGTAT